GGGGGAAGTAAAATTAAATTTACATAATTTATGACTTACTCAGCAGTGTTTCATGGGCGTTGTGTTGCATAATTTTAGGCATTTTTGTTTATTGCGGCGTAAAATTTGAATTATGAATCAGGAATAGGCTCCCGTTCCACTCTTCTTCCACCCCCCCTTTCCCTTTTCCACCCATTTCTTCCACAGTTGTTTCCGTGTAAGGGTTACATTCTGAGGTTATTAGTAATTTATTTGCATATTTTGTGGGCATTGGACAGAACGGTGGAGAGGTGAGCCGCAGCTTGACGGACAGGAGCAGGAACTCAAGTGTCATACGGCAGTCAAGTGTCGTGTCTTGAATGAAATACGCTTTGAGTTGGGTCGCCAAGGTGGGGCAGGTGTGTAGGATGTGTCCTGGCTTTAGCTTGGGACTGGAACTTGCGTTGGAAATGTGCCTGGGGTACGGATAAGAACTGTTCTAATTAAAGATTCGACGTTTTTTTTATGGCCTCTTCTTCTATTTTTCACTATACCCACTATGCCACTCCCTATTACCGATAGATAACAGCTCTCGTGCTGGCCAATCTGTTGTCTGGCCCTCGATAATATATGAACCAATAAACATTTCTCATGCCATGATTGCTGCCGGCCACCGCTCTCACCGCTCTCACCGCTCTCTACTCTGGTCGTGGGTTCAATGCCAGACTCCGAGCAACTTTAATTGCCACTTGCTAATTGCAAACTCCCACAGACCCAGTCCGAAAAGCGGACCATTACATACAGATGCCATATTTCATACATCAGAGATACATAAGGAATATAGATATTTTCCCCATTGAGCATGTCCCAGACAACATAAAAAATGGCAGAAACAGCCACTGATTAGTATCAAAGGGAAGTGTGCAGGGTGTGGGTGGAAGGATGGATGATACAGTTGCGGTTGGTTGTTTGCCCTGTAGCTAAAGCTGAAGCTGGAACTAGAGCTGTAACTGAGGCTAGAGCTGAGGCTCCACAGCTGGGCTGTGGAGAGCAGTGAAAAACTTTTGATTAAGCTGCAGTTATGGCAGGTTGTTGGAGAAAGAGCATAGGCAGCCTTCGGGACGCAGCAGCAGGAACAGGAGCAAAAGCAGGAGCAGGAGCTACAAGCTTTTGTTTTGCTTGCTTGTTCGTTAGTTTGTTTTGCTTTTACCGCTATCTCAAAAATCTCCCTTTTCTGCGACTCCCTTGTGCCCCAAACCCACACACATAGACACACATGACAGATGCTTAGGGCAACATTGTCTACTTTTATGTGCTTTGCCAGTGACAAATTTGAGCAGCGACGACTACCCGTATCTGTATGCCGCAAGAGAGTAAAAAAAATAACAAACTTTTGAATAAAACTTTGATGATTTTTGTTAGAAAAGAAGCGAAGCGACGCTGCGTTTTCAATAAGCAGAGTTATCCTAGTACCCCAGCCCTCCCCCCCCCCCACCCTTTGGCTAGCCCCATAAAATATTACTTTTCTATCAACAAAACTTGCCGGGGAACCCACTCAATTCGAAACCATTTTCCAAACTATCATCATCATCCTCGTCGTCGTTGTCGTGGAGAAAGCATAATAAAAATCGCTCTTCATGTGTTTCAGTTCGACAGAGGGCAGAGAGGCAAAGTGCGGGTTAGTGAGGCTGACTGCTGCCATAACAAAGCCATAAAACGTAGTTTTAATTGCATTTTCGTTGTTCCGTTTTATGGAGTTCGACTAGCGCATGCAGGGGCACCAGAACATGGCCGAACAGACCAACAAGAACACCCCAGGAGTGACCAGAACGGAACAGAACCGAGCAGAAAGCTTCGGCTTTGGACTGGTTCAATGCGCAGCATTCTAATTGCATAGTGGGATAGGAGGGAGAGGAGGGGACAGTGTGGAAGGCACTTACGGCTTGCCTGATCTGGGTGGGATCTCTGGGCCGTGCCCCCTAGTGCACCCAGGCAATGTCCCATCCGCTCGCTGTCTCAGCGCACTTCGCTCTCTGCTCACTTAGCGCTCAGGCATCATAAACTAACGCAGTTTATGGGTTCATGCGCCGCAGACAGGGAGCGACAGATACAGGGGAGAACACGCACACAATCACACACACACTGTGCACACAGCACTTGGCCAAGTTGGCACTTTTGGCCATTGCATATGCGTAGGCGGCGACACTGCGGCTAGCCTGTGGCCCACTGGCCCTATCTTGGACATGCTGGGGCGCTAAAATTTGCGGTTTAACGTTGCCACTGGCGCCTGTCGACTCTCAACTGTGGCTGCACTGTCACAACCCCAACCTCAACCCCCCACAGACACTTTGTCATAAGCAATTGCCAAGGGTAATTGTGTCGAGGCAGGCATCTTTTGATTCCATTCCTTTAGAGCATGGGCGAAAAGAGAACGATTTAATTAATATTTTGACTCTCAAAGGCTTCGTTCAGCTTTTGGCAACATTTAAATTTAAAATTATGTGCGTTAATTACGCTCCCAAAGAAAGTTGTCGGTAAGGGGAGTCCTTGCTCTGGCTCTTGCTCTGGCTCTTGCTCTCGATCTTGCTTCTGCTGGCGGTAATAATTAGCCAGGCTTTTGTAGAGATACAAAGTGAGGGATGCCTTAGAAGGGCTGCCGAAAAGAAAAAGTTCCAGAGTACTCGGAAGAACTCAGAGAAGTGCAATGAAAGCACTCGGCACTCATGTGGCTGCCAGAGAATGCTTTGACTTTGGCTAAATTTTCCAAGAAAATTCTTCCATAAATTGCCTGGTAGTTCATTAGCCAAAAGAAGAAGCGGGACATCATTATTGAATGCTGCCTTTGCTGTTGCATTGATTTTCTGTTTGTTCGGCTTACAAGTGAATAGCTGCGGGCTTTTTCAGATGCTGCTGGCTCTGAGCATTTCTTGTACTGAAAACATTTTCCAATTTATTAAACCACGACACATCAATCATTCATCAGCAGCAGGAGCATCAGGAGCATCAGGAGCAGCCAAAGCTGAGGCAACCCCCAAGAGAGGAGAACGTGGGACTAAATGAACATTTTTCGGTTAAACATTGGTTTAAAATCTGTGGCGTCACCCGGCCACCCATCCTTCCACTCCATTCCACTCCACTCCAGTCTCTCTCTCTCTCTCTTTATCTTTGCCTGCCCCCCGCATCACTGTCAACAACATGGTGCTGCCGTCGACATCGCCTGTATATAAAATCCACAAGGCTTCAGTTCATCGACCACTTAATTTATCCAGCTGAGCTTTGAGTAAGGCAAAAGCGCATTTGTGTGTTGTCTGGCCAAGAGTGATGAAGTGGGAAGTGGTGAGAGGGGAAACGAGAGTGAAAGAGAGATGTAGAGAGAGAAGTGGGGGGATGGTTCAGCATGCCTTTGGTCAGACAGAGAAATGCACTTAATTGCCGTGCCCCCGCCACGCCCTGTTTAGTGTGGAGTAACGATTAAAAAATCAACCAGCCAAAAATAAAGTGCAACGTGCATTTAGGCGCGCTGCCTAGTGGTCCTGGTCCACCCTCGTCCCCTCGTGTGGTGGAGGGAGCTGCACTCATTCATTATGCATTAATGTAAATACGGTAAATGTTGTCCAATCATTAACATAATTGAATTACAAACAAGCTGAGGAGAGAGGCCCAAAATTTCGGTTGCATGCGCGTGCATAAATCGCAATTTTAATTACTTGCCTCAGACTAATGGATTGTTCCAAAAAACATACATACACACAACTTAAGGGCAGTGGCAGACGGGGTACAGAGAGAACACCGATTCGGCTATGACATTAAATATTTCATAATACAAAAAGAGCCCTCGCTCTCCCAGCCACTCCCTCACGGTTATATAAAGCAATTGAATTTTGCAGTTAAAAGCTTCAATCATTTTCAATTGCCGCAAACTAATGGATGATTATAAAATATTCATGCGACAAGCGACAGGCGATGAGACGACAGACTTCCATGCGGCTAATGACAAGCAAAGGCAAAGGACCAGGCCCAGGCCCAGGCACAGAACTGTGCTCAGACCCAGGACACAGTCACCTCAGCTTGCCCCTGACTTGCCCTGGGCCACGTTGATGAGCCAATCTAAGACCAGGAAGCCCAGGGGCGTTGCCAGAGCCGCCCCCTTTCCATCTGTGAGCGGTGCAAATAAATTACACCTGCGAAGGGAGAGAGAGCCGTTGTGGTATCCCCACCTTTTTGGTTATTGATTTGCTTGGGTTTTTGCGGTTTTCGGGGAGGAGTGGTGCGGACGAGGGTGGACACTCGATTCGAACACTCGGTATAAAGCCCTCAATTAAGTTTTATTTTAATGCATTTCATTTGAACGTCTTTTAATGGGATTTTTCGTGCTCCGGCACTGCCATATTACTCATTTGCCATAAACCAAAAGGTGACCACAACACGTATCCCTGTCCCAGACCCAGTTTCAGACCCAGATCCAGTCGCAGATCCCACTCCCCACAGCAGAGTGGAAGAGCAGAACAGAGAGAGAGAGAGAGAGAGAGCGGATGAGTGGAGGAGTGGACGAGGGAGGAGAACGTTAAGTGTTGGCTGGCCAGAATCGACATGGGTCGCTTGGGTGAGATTTAAGCTTTAATGATGCATGAAGCGGCACAGGATGTGGCTGCCCAGTCGTGGGTAAAAGGCAATGAGCGCAAATGTGCAGAGGAGAGCCAGGGAGAGACAGAGACACAGAATGGCAGGGTGGCTGCTGGGGAGACAGGACATGACAGGAGATGGGTTTGCATATTGAGTGCCATTTAAATGCTTCAAAATGCTTCGCTGGCCAAATGTGTTTTTGGAGGTGTTTATGAAGAGGTTCTATTCCACTGCTCCACACAGCTCACAGTATGGTGATGGAATTTCAGGGGGGGGGGGGGATCAAATGGGGAGACTAATAGCATCCTCCTCTGCCAGTATCATTATCGCATAATCTCATACTCATACTCATCGAAACTATAATGCCACCCCGATATTAATTTCGATATTTTTTCTCTTTCCTTTTTTTTCCCTTCCAGATGAACCGTGCTTTACAGCTGAAGCCAGCTGAAAATGAAAGTCGCAGCGGTAAGTTCTCGATTTCTGAATTATCTTTTTATATTTCATATATAAATGTGGACTCCCTCCCATACGCATGGGTGGAAAATCAATCAAGCCTCTCCATAGGTGACCCAAAATAAATAATTCGAAAAAAATATGACCCGTCTTTCGCTGTGGGCAAAGTTTTTGGGCCAAAGTAGTCGGCCAAAAAACGCTGAGCCAGCACAAGTTTCTATATCCCGCATCTAAGTGTGTGTTACCCCACTCTCGCATACACACTCTCTTTCTCTCTGTGTCTCTCCCTGTGCCATTCTTTTTTCAACACCTACAACACACGTCAGCAGAAATTACGAGCGCACTTCGATAAACTGTCAAAACTGTCTGCAAAAATTTGACATTTCAGAAAAGAAAAAAAGGAAAACAGCATCAAAATCGAAAACCTCAAAAAAATGCTTGGAAATGGTAGAGAAAATGGGAAAAGCGTATAGCAAAACAACGTTCGACTGTCAATGGCAGTTGGGCCGGTACATACAGTACAGGGCCCGTGAGTGTGAAGAGAGAGCAGGAGGCGGAGGCCGAGCGCTGGCCAGGGCGCCATATTGTTTTTACCGGGACCCTCACACAGTTGTCGTGTTTCACGCTTGTTTGTGACAGCCCATCGACCCAGGAAGCCCTCCAGAACCCGGCATACCCATCCCCCGCCCTGCCAATGGGGATGGAAAAAAGAATGATAAAGATTTGCATAATTTACACAGCACTTCAACTTTGTTTTTGGGTCAGCTGCCCGCCCGAGTAGTTGTTGCTTTGATAAACTTATTGACAGGCTCATTATGCAGCCGGGGTTTTCAAAAGTAATTTCAATATTTCTCCCCTTACTTAGGGTGAGCGCTTAGCTCGTCACAAAACCCTGCCTCATTATCCTTTCTCCTGGCTTTGGCAGGGACTTCTGCAGAGGTGCAATCGTACAAGAGTATGGTACACATTTCGCAATCAACCCGTGCTGCCCGGGGGCCCGGAATCCATCCAGAAGTTGCAGGAGTCGCAGGAGTCAGTGCACTCTACAATCTTTTAAGACATTTTGCAGCTGGCATCGCTTATCACAGCAGAGAGAACCGGAGCAGCGCCCCAAAATGTCCATTGCACAAATTGCTTGTGCACACACACTCTCAGCCAGGTCCACACTTTGCTCGTTGGTTGGTTGGGGCAGACACAGCCATTGCTCATAACAGTCGCAGTCGCTGTCTCCGTTGCTGGTTGCTGGTGGCTGTGGCAAGAACCTTGACAAAGTTGATGTGTCAAATCAGCAGCCAACGAGCGTTGAGCGAACGCAGAGCGAAAGATGCCATTCAGGCAGCCAGGCAGTGACAGTCAGTGGTGGTGGGTCCGGCCCTCCTCCGGATGACCTTTAAACTTTGCCAAAGGACATGAAAGCACTAATCGTTACGTTGCTCCTTTCTTTATTCATTCATTCATTCTTTTGGCTGCTTCGATTTCGCTTTGCTTTCGTTCTTCGGCTCTGGCTCTGGCTCTGTCTCTGGATCTCTTTCTCTCTCTGTCGCTGGCTCGGCGGCAACAATTTAAACTTTCCTAATCCGCTGGGGATTGGAAACTTCAAGCTGCACAAGCAACTGAACTACGCTCTGGCAACTTGCTGGCAATCTGTCCGCACAATTGTGGACCTGGTCCTGAACCAGAACCTGGACTAGGGCTAGGAGTACAGCTAGGACGCAATCAAGTCGACATTTTTGTTTGTTGCTTTGTTGGCGGCTTGTCGTCCCCCTCCCTTGGCATTCCCGGGCCCGTCTTCATCACTCGAGTGGGAACAAATTTCTAAGAAATTAAAGCGCTAAACTTTTTTGGGCCCCTATCAGCAACGCACTTGGCAAATCTGCACCGAGTCCTTTGCTTCTTGCTCAACCCTCTTGGCGGAGACTTTTGACTTGTCCTGTTTGTGTGTGTGCTTGTGCTAGGAGGAGGGATCTTTTGGCTTTGGGTTTAGGCCAAAATGCAATTAGACAAGGACAAGTTTAATTGCTTGGTCGAGAGTCCTGATATCCTGCAGGCTGCTGCAAGCTTCACCCGCTGACATTTACATTTTTCGGCCGCACAAAGAAGTTTAATTTATTTAAACTCAAATCAAGCATGAAATGTGTGAGAGAGCGATGAGGGGCATGAATACACTTTTTACTGTTGACAAGTGCGAAGAGAAAAGATGATTTAGGAGGTCTCTTCTGCCTCTTTTGGGTTCTGTTTCCCTTTTGGGCCCTTTCCCTCCTGCCTTCAATCCACGTAACTTCATCAATTTTAACTTACTAGAGGGCAGAGTAGGACTTGGTTGACATGTCCATGCGTTGACCAAACCCCAAACACAAGCCCTGAAAACTGAGATACGAAATCACAAATTGTTGCCGTTGTCTTTCAACCGTTGTCACTGGTCCTTGGCCCTGCTCTGTCCGTCGACAACGTTTGCCGCATTTGCAATCGTCTCTGCCATCACTGAGTCTGATGATTTTCGTTTCATTGCCACACACACAGAACAGACATTCACACACACGCATACATCCCATGCTTAGTTATTTATCTTGATATTCCTCCTCACACACATCCATCCCATGCCTCATCATTATCAAACTCATATTGTCGTCTGCCTGCCCTTTCTCTCTCTTACTCTCTCCGCACTCTCTTTCTATCTCTTTTTCGCTTTCACGCGTAATTTGTACTTGTCTAACACGTAATGATGTCACGTAAATTGCATACTTTCGCTTACGTTTACGTTGACGTGTTACGTTAGCTCTGGCTCTGCTTTTCCCTGCGACTTAAAGTCAAATTAATATCATACGACCCCTGAGCAAAGAAAATCTGCCAGTGCCTTTACTCTCTGCTCGGCATACAAACATAAATTTTGAAATCCCCGCCGTTTCCTCACGAACACTTTTACACATACTTTCACAGCCAAACACACATATACAGGCAGGCTCACACTCGTACTCACACAGATTTATGTTTCTAACTACGCATTAATTTCCTTACCTTTATCTCGGCCGGGTCTTCGCTTGACTCCTTGTCACACGTCAGTAAATCAGATGCCGTTGCCCAGCTCTACGCTTCCCGTCTGCCCGTCTTCCCGTCTCGTCTCTCATTCATCATACTTATAAATATTCATTTCCTGCTGTGGTGCCGCAGGGGAATACTCCAAAGGGAAGCGCGCTGCTACAAAAATGATTGCAAAAGATTAAAAATCAACTCCATAAAAATGCTCTCGCACCTTGCACCTGATGATAAATGACAAACGAAAATTAACAAAGCAGCCCCAACCTCTAAAAAAAGAAAGAGAGAGTGCGTGTAGAGCCGAACCTTAAAGAAAACTGAAGGCACATATGTGGAAAATTCCCGAGCAGAAAACTTTCGCAGAGCTCATTATAGACACCGTCTCATCAAATTGAAAAGCAATGAGCTATGAGAGGGAAACCTTCGAAGCCGGAGCACACACCAAACACATATCCCCTGCTAATAAGCATTCTGCCAAAAGTTGTAGGGCGAAAAACTAATAATAATAATACGCAGAGTTGGCCCGAAAAACTTTTCTCATTTTGCTTTCATTCCCCTAGTCTTCATCGCAGCTCTGCCCTTTCGCCTGATTACCCATTTGAATTGTATTCGCTGGCAATTTGTGTTGCCTACTTTCGGGCGGCCACTCAGTTCTGATCCGAATTTTTATTTCGGCATAAAGTTAGCGACAACATTCCAATCTACCTGCGATACCTCCAGCTCTCTGCTCCTTCTACTGCTGCTGCGACCTTATTAGTGTCAACATTTTTATGGCAGCTCGGAAAGAATGCCATACAATTTGATTAATACCAATAAGGGGCGACAAATTCAATTGAATTTGTAATATAGATTGACTGGCACTGACGATTGGCTTCAGCTGCGGCTGCGACTCCTTTTATCTGTCCCACATGTGTACCCCCTGGCAGTGTGGAGGTATGGTGGTTTTGGCGGCTTGAAGTTTTTGGGGGAGTGCAAATTAAAAGAGACGGCACGGCAAGATGCGAAGGCCAGGATATTCACCACTAAGCCCCAAACAACAAAGCCTCTGAGGCCAGACAAAAGGCATAAATAAAGCGAAGCACATCCAACAGTGGCAGCAGTACGCCTAAAAGCAGACATCAATTTCTGCCATACTGCGTTTTTCTTTTCTCCTCCTTTCTGTCGATTTTCTTTCACCGCTCCTCTGCTTCAGCGGTCGGTGGTCGGGAGGGGCTCAATTCTTTAATCAGCTTAAATTCACACGTACCAAAAGCGACGCATAGCCATTGATTGGAGGCTTACCCCCAGTCGCTTCCACTCCTCGTTTGGACCCAGCCTTCTTTTGCTTTTATCAAAGCCAGTTCAAAGGCTCGTATGTGTATTTAGGCTTTTATTGTTTTTGACCTTTTTTTTGCGAGACGAAATAAAAATCGATTTTTCTTCACACACTCACTGACACACACAGATACATCTAACTCAGGAAAGAAAGGAAAAAAGGGAGGAAAAGCGAGCCAAAATAAAAGTAAATCACAAGCATCGCTGCTGGCAGCATTCGCAAGTTCAAATAAGCGATAATAAGTATTTATAGGCGGGCAAACAGATTCGGGTTCGGTACATAAGGCCCCCCGAACAGCCTGCTAAATGCGTTTTAATGTTTTTTAAACTTTTCCCTACTGTCTGCGCTTTGCTTCTTCTCTGTTCTCTTTAATATTTAAGTATACTTTTAGGCGGAGTTTTTCCTCCGTAGTTTCTTTCCTTCGACAGTTTTGTCTGCGCATCATTTTTCTTCGTTGCTTGATTTTGTTTTTACGAGCGACTGAAGCCTGTCAATTGGCTGAATGCCTCGTAAAACTGCCAGAGGCCTATGAGGCAGAGGCAGCTTTCGCTTTCCCCTTCCCTCCGAAGGCAGCAGAAAAACGGAGAAAAAGAAAACGATTTGTTATGTTTTCGCTCAGGCAGCGTGGAACAAGAAAAGGAAGCACACAAAAACAACGAAAAAA